TCTCAAAATAAGGAAATAGAATATTAATAACAACAACAACAACAACAACAACAGCAAACATTTCTTAACTCACAGTTTCTGTGAGTTAGGAATATGGGAGTTGTTTATCTGACTACTCTGACTCATGGACTCTCACTAGGCTACCCTCAAGATGTAGGCCAAGGTTGCATTCTCGTCTGGAAGAGAATGTGCTTCCAATTTCACTCTTGTGGTCTTTGGCAGGATTCAGTTCATCACAGGTTGTGGGGCTGAGGGCCTCATTTCCTCATAGGCTGTTGGCCACATGGGCCTTTCCATAAAGAAGCTCAAGTCATGGCAGCTGGTTTCTATTAGAGTGAGCAAATGGGAGAGCAAGAGGGGTGAACAACATAGAAGTAGAGTCACTTTGTAATCTAATTTTAGAAGTGACATGTCATTATTTTGATTATATTCTGTTTGTTAGAAGGAAGTCAGAAGGCTCAGTTAATACTCAAGAGGCAAGGACTATAAAAAGATATGAATGGCATAGTGGTGATCACTAAAAGCCATCTTTGAATTTATCTACCAGACCCTTTCAAACAGATCAAAAAGCCTTCTGAGTATATTAAGTATATGCTGTGCACACCCCCTTTTAAAAAAGAACTTTTGAGAATTATTTTCCCTGTAGTATCTTCACAAGAAAGATTTGTGAATATAGTCTTTGTCTAATGGAGTGAATCAAAGATTTATGCATAGGAAACTCACAAAGTTTTAAAAGGAAACATATCAGCTTGGAATAAAAAGACAGAGACAGACAAATTGAAAAAAAGAGTCATGTCTACCACCAAACAGTTGCAGGCAAGAAGCAAGCAATATTTTATACAAAGGAAGGATGACTCAAAAGGCAGAACCAGGAATCTATAAAATAAGGCCAAGAGCTATGGAGAAGAACTCACCAGGAGTATTGACTGAGCCCTAAGCAGAGAAAAGGTACTATGTGTCAGACCAGATTTGAGAATTTGATGGACCAGTAACTGCTTTGTGCCTCCCGTCTTCTCTTGAATGTAAGTATCTGTTGGGTTATCCCTTGATGGTCCTTGGCATTCAACGTTGGAAGTGTGCTGATAGATGGCTTGTTTACTTAGTTCACAGGCTTGTTGACCTAAGAGAATATATCCAAGGAATTACACCAGAGGAGGCTTATCCATACCGGAATGGATTTAGATGACAAGATCCTAGATCTTAAGCCTGAGCCCGATGCTGTAATGAAATTATGTTTTTAGGGAGGCTCTGGAGAGGAAATGTGTTTATTTTGTGTATATAATAATATAATTCAGGGGCGCCTGGCTAGCTCAGTCGGTTGGGCAGCCGACTTCGGCTCAGGTCATGATCTCACGGTCCATGGGTTCAAGCCCCACGTCAGGCTCTGTGCTGTCAGTTTGGAGCCTGGAGCCTGCTTCAGATTCTGTGATTCCTTCTCTCTCCGCCCCTACCCCGCTCAAGCTCTGTCTCTCTGTCTCAAAAATAAAATAAACAGTAAAAGTTTTAAAATATATATATAACTCAGCTGGGACCAGAAAGTGGATTGTGGCAAGTTTTAAAATTGCTTGGAAATTCTTTAAAACTCTCTTCATTAAGAAGTGGAGTCTATGTTCCCTCTCCTCAAATCTGAGTGGGCTCTGAGTGTTTCCACCAACAGAATATGTGACTCCAGGGATGGTTTGTAAAGAAATATAGAGCTTCGCCCTTGTTTCCTGAAATGCTTGCTCTTGAAACCCAAAGCTTCCATGAAAGGAGTGTGACTAGTTTAAGAACACCACAATGTGAGGAATCCAAGCTGTGGAAAGGTCATGTGTAGGTACTCTGGTCGGAAGTCCTAATCTTGAGTGTTCTCAGCCTGGGCTCCAGAGAGTGAGTGACAAGGCTTTGGTGATTCTAGCTTCCAGCTATTGAGTCACCCCAGTCTATGAGTCTTTCCACCTGATGTCTCAGATACTGTGGTGCAGAGATCAGTCATCTTCACCTTGTGTCTAAATTCCTGACCCACAGGATCTAAGGATAATAATAAGATGGTTGTTCTGAGCAACTACATTATAGTTATTTGTTATATAGTCATAGTAACTGGGACTAAGCTATGAAAAACCACAGCACTGAAATTGTGAATGAAATGCATATGGAAGCCAATGTCTAGCTTTGAGGGCAATCAACAATCAGTACGTTTATGATTACTTTAGAATCTTGTGTGAATGAGATAAAATATGCGAATACCCCTAGCACAATGCCTAGCAATAAAGAACAAGGGTTTATTATCATACCAAAAGAAATATATGTATACATTTATTTCCAAATGGTTATTATCAATGACCTACAAGTATTAATATTCTGGCCCAATGCTCCAAAGCCTTACATGTACATCTCTGAGTTACAGATGAATAAAGTTGTGGCTTGTTGTTCACACAAATCTGGGCAGAGCTAGAATTCAAACCCAGATCTTTTTAACTTCAAATCCCTTACTTTTCATCATTACATTCTTCTCCCTCCAGACATTTTCATATTTAGAGAAAAGATTCAGAAACCATTATGGAAAGTTCGCCCTACAGAGAAGAGGCTCAAGACTGAAAACTTAACTCTGCACTTGGAAAAGAGAGAACAAGAATGATTTAATGATTAGGAATACGATGGGTTCTGTATTTTCTAGGAATATATATATACTTAGAATATATTCTAAGAATATATGTATATATATATATACACACACATATATGTCCTTAATTCATAAAAATTAGAATCTAAAAATGTAAGTGAGCTGTTAATAAAGCACTTCATTATGGTGAGGATTAATTCTTCATCTTACGTACTATAGTACTATATTTTGATCAAACATCTTTACTTCATGATTTAAAAGAAAAAGATAAATATTGGACTTAATGGGGACAACTGTAGATACAGATATCAATGATACCTAGGTTCAAGACTAAATGGTTATTAAGTCCCCTTTCATTCTAACAGAGACAGTAACAGTAGCTCCCACTTATGCAGCATTGATTATTTCACAGATATCAGCAAAGGGCTCTTTGCGTGTCTTCCTTAATCCCTGAAACAGGCATCTAAAGTAGGTACCACTTTACTATTCCTTCTTCTACCGGTGAGAATGCTAGTGCTCTACTCAAAGAAGTGAACTCAGTTTCCCAAGGTCACTCAGCTAGGAAACAGTGGAATTGGGATTATATGATGGTTCATTTCTTCATCTTTATAAAGTACTCTAAAGGAAACAAAATAAAATCAAATGTGGACATTACATACTGATACGGCCAATCACAAGCAAAATAAAACTGTAGTACTCTAAGATGGTTTTTATTGTATATATGTAAGTCTTTTTTGAATTACAACTATTGATCTCCTTCGAGAATATTAATTATAACTGTATAATTCTAATGTCCATCCAATGCATAAATTTTCTACATTTATAGGTGGGTTGTTTAAAAATATATACATGAAAAAACATACAATGCTTACAAACCAAATGCAAATAAAAATCTTTTAAAAATCTTAGAAATTCATTAAGCTGGTTATGTTGATCCTATTAAAAATGGCTCGTCTATGTACAATACATAATCTTTAAAAATACTACTCCAGAAACAAAAATTCTTTGGTTCAGCAAAAAGATTCTCTAAATGTGGAAATTCAATTTGTTAAGGATGCACCTTCTTGGGTTGGGCCTCACTTAACTAGTTTGACTTTTCAGGAAGCATATAGCTGACTCTTTCTGAATGCTGAAAATATGGGTGGAGAGTGGGTAGAGGTTGCTTTTCCCATAGAACATTAGCATGTGAAAATATAACCAGCAGCTTGAATAATGCAGGAACTTAGATGTTATTTTTACTCTGCTAGATCAAGAAGATACAGAGAAAGTCTGCTTCCCATCCATTTGGTGAGATTTTGGTCGATACATAAAAACATTCTCCAGTAAACTTCTTAGGCACTGGCATCCAATGCCATTGAAACCAGTCTGTTCATCATCTGGAACGCTGTGAGGACACAGAAGGGCACATACTGGATGTCCCTTTTACTTAAGTCCTGTGACTTCCTGAGCCGCTTGCCTACCTTAAAGAGGTAATTATATAAACACGTCCATGACTCAAATCTCTTTAAAAACAGTTATTGATACAACAGTGATTACAGTGCATCGACATGAGCCAGTGGGACTTTCATTAAAAATTAACTGTGGTTATTCTATACTCTTGATTGATTAACAGCAACAATCACAGAACTGGCCAAAATATCTCAGGGTTTCAGAGTCAGCAACCTGACCTATTAGAAATTATTCTCTTCTATATTTAATGAGAAGGAAAAGCTTCCACGATTTTGCGCCTGCACGTTTTCTACTTTGATTGGGAAAATATTTAGCATATAAGACAAAACCTTTCCAAAGTCCCATCACTTGGTCATACATTATAACTCCCTTTAACAAGGCTTTTGAAAGGTCGCTGAGATGTCACAGCCGGTCACAGGAGAATGAAAAATATTTTTTGCTTTACTGTTTTCAAGTTCCCCAGTGGAATATAATTACTGGTTGGGTGAATTAACTCATTTATGTTAGGAAGTGGTACCACTGACTAATAGTTAAACTTGCCTTTCCCCAGACCAGCACCAGAAACACACTAACATGTTTTTAGGTGGAAATCAAGAGCTTGTATGAACTACAAAGATTTCTGCAAACCACGACTTTGAAATGCCGTAAGGCTTACATGGAGTTGTTGAGAGCAGGGGGGGTCTTCCAAAGCTCACCCCTGTTCTTCCTTCCATCTGCATGACCTAGTTGCTCAAAGACGAGACACTCTGTCACGCCTTATTAGGACGCAAAGAAGACAAGTACGATGGGATGGAGCAATAGACTGCAGAGAAAATGATGCCCCACCAGCAAAAATGGTTCTGACTGTGGAGAGGGGAAGAGGATAGCTTTCAACGATGGAGAAAAGTGAAGAATAGAATACGTGAATAATTCACAGCATCTAAATGAGACAATGTAATTCAGAACCACTTTCACAATCACATCTGCCACCCAGCTCATGGTCAGGGATTCCTCTTCCCTAATGGTCTTCCAACAAATATTATAATACTTCAAAGAGAGAAATGATCACTACTGGGTTATCGGTCCTTATAGTCTTTTGTATGCAGAGGCAGGAATCGTCTTTTCTTCAGTCAGAAGTCTTTATCCCAGCCTGACAGCTCATCTGGAGGCACACCCTTTTCAGGGGGATACTTGTCAAAATAGCTGTGGTCTGTGGGTCCACTCAGCTAAGAAGGAAGAATCAAACCATGGGTGAGGATAACGTTGACTGAGCAAGCTATTATATACAGATACTGCTTTTTATACTGAACACTGATTTTATACCATAACCACTGGTAAGTTACATGTGAGGAAAAGATGACCAATTATCATTTTTGAGCTTCAATGGATCTGGTCACTGCATTACATTCAACAGAAGCTTCCTGGCCTGAGGAGGCATCTCCAAAAGAAAGAGAGATAGTAGAGCGCCTGGGTGGCTCAGTCGGTTAAGGGTCCGACTTCAGCTCAGGCCATGATCTCGCGGTTCGTGAGTCTGAGCCCCATGTCAGGCTCTGTGCTGACAGCTTGGAGCCTGGAGCCTGCTTCGGATTCTGTGTCTCCCTCTCTCTCTCTCTGCCCCTCCCCCACTCACACTCTGTCTCTCTCAAAAATAAACATTAGAAATTTTTTAAAAAGAGTGATAGAAATTGTATCTTTTTTCAGATTGAAAAACATTTTAACAGCAAATATTTTAAAAACTCAAAATCTGCCACTTTTAAATCCTTTGTCCATTTTATAGAAGTTTCTCACTAACTGAATTTTTATATGGTTAATTGACCCATCTAAAGTTTCCAGAATGCCAAAGGGTCAACTTAAAATATTACTGACCCTGTTGAAAGTGTGAAATGATTCTGGAATGCAACTATTTTGCAAATCAGATTGTTTATAATTATTTGCTTTCAACCAAAATTTAAAATTCTCAGCTGATAGATCAGTAAAAATACTACTTATGAAAGGTCATACTGTGTTTTTTGGGGAGGTTTGGAGATCACTCATAAGGCATTCAAAGTGAAATTGCTATTATACAATGCTCCATTCCCACTTACTTATCTCTGTGAACACAACTCAGCATTTACAACCATATAATTTTATTTTTTTAAGATTTTTTAAGGTTTATTTTTGAGAGAGAGGGAGAGCGCGCACACAAGCAGGGAAGGGGCAGAAAGAGAGGGAGACACAGAATCTGAGGCAGACTCCAGGCTCTGAGCTGTCAGTGCAGAGCCCGTCGCGGGGCTCGAATCCATGAGCAGTGAGATCATGTCCTGAGCTGCAGTCGGACATTTAACGCACTGAGCCACCCAATATAATTTTAAAATGGAACAGAATTGATGTGAAGCCTGAACCCATTCCCATTCTTTTATTATTATTGTTATTGTTATTGTTGTTGCTGTTGTTGTTATTTTATTTCAGAGATAGAGAGCACGAGTGAGGAGAGGGGCAGAGAGAGAGGGAGAGAGAGAGAGAGAGAATCTTGAGCCCAGTGAGCCCAATCCAGCACTTGATTCCATGACTCTGGACCAAAATCAAGAGTTGGACACTCAACCCACTGAGCCACGTAGGCACCCCCTCATCCCATTCTTTTAACGGGTAACATTTCTCTCTTTTCAGGAAATATTTGTTAAATACTTATTTTAAAATTTTGTAACATATTTCTGTTGTTTGATGCTCATAGCTATAAAAATGTAATTATAACTGAATCCAGAAGAAATATTTATGTTGTCACAGGAATTTAAAAATTTAGACAACTACAGTTCAAAGGCATTTAAAGAATAATCAATTAAATATTGGCAAGTATAGGGAATACTTTTACATAAATTATTTTAGGGAAAATGGGATGGGAATATAAAAATATAAATTCAGGGAGAAAAAGGAATTGTATAATATTGATGTCTGTATTTTTTATTTTTTTAAGTTTATTTATTTATTCTGAGAGACAGAGATGGGGGTGGGGAGGGGCAGAGAAAGAGAAAATCTCAAGCAGGTTCTGAGCTGTCAGTGCAGAGCCTAAGGCGGGGCTCCATCTCATGATCCATGAGATCAAGACCTGAGCCAAAATCAAGAGTCAGATGTTTAACTGACTGAGCCACCCAGGCGTCCCACTGCCTGTATTTTTTAAATGGCTGATGGGCATCAAACCTCACTGGTATTTAGATTACATCGCATATATTTAAAGGAGGAATGTTTTACTTTAAAATGTCAATATTTACTATAAGCTAGAAATCACATTCTTCACAGCAATTTAAGCATGTGATGAAAACACTGAGATGTCAATCTAAAAATGTACAAGGGGAGACACAGACCTTTAAAATTCCAGTAACGAGAACATAGCATCGAATCTGTAGGGTGCTGATTATTCCTGAGTCATTCTTTCCCTGCAAGTTAGCAGATGATCTGCTTTATCTAGAGCTGGGCTGTCCAACCAGCAACAGGTGGTGATTGAGCATGTGAAAGGTGGCTAAACCAAAGTGAGATTGCTGTAAGTGTAAAATCCACTTGGGATTTCAAAAACAGTATGGAAAAGGAGGGCACTTGTTGGGATGAGCACTGGGTGTTACTTGACAATAAACTATGAAAAAAAAACCAGTATGGAAAAATAAATGTGACATCTCATTAACATTTTATGTGGATGATACATCAAAACACCAAGTTTTTGATACACTGTAATAATTAAAATTAATTTCATTTGTTTCATTTTCCTATGACTAAGTAGGAAAGTTTAATTAACATGTATGATTCATATTATATACTTCTAGAGCCGTTTGTCAGCCTGACCAACACTGACGACCTGGGGACTTAGATTTTTATGTAATTGGTTCCTGAGAATTGAGCTAACCGCCATCAAATAAGAAATACTATTTTGTCCCATAATCACAACTAATGTGACATTTTCACTGAATTTTAAAACCCGATTAAAAATCTAAAATGTGGCACACATGAAGACACCCTTATTCTGTTTATAAAAACAGAAACTAGAACAAATCAAGAAAGTAGTAGAGTAGATACCATACCTCTCTCTGTAAAGGTGATGGAAGGTTCCGCGCTTTCAGTCCCTCCCAATTAAAACCATTTAACCACCTGAGAAGTAAAAACAGTACAGAGGAAAATTACTCGCCTGATCAACTCTTAGCACATCAAGTTATCTGTCAGTCCATTCTGTTGCCCTCTCCCAGCCCACAACAGGGCAGCTGCAAGTGGGCGGGAAGAAAATGCATGTCCCCACTGGTCGTCTGCTCTCACATTAAATCTATGCCCACTAACCTCAAGGGGGCAGTTAATATTGCCCAGCAATTGTTCTAGATTTCCCTGTTGTCCCACTCATTGCCTCACTCCCTTAGCCTCCTAATTCATACTTGGTCCTCCCTCCTCAAACTTCCAGAAACCTTCCCCACCTCCAGCCTCACTCCCAAATGGTGACCTGGCTTCCTATTTCACTGAAAAAAGCTGAGCTGCCACAATTCTCCACCAGCATGTCTGCCTGCCTGTCTACATCAGTGTGCTTCCATTCCTCGTGCACTAGGGTCAACTAGGTAAGGTCAGCTCAGCTCCTGCACTGTGTACTTGACCCTGGACACATTTCTATTTCAGAGGCATCTTTCCGCCATTCTCCTCACTCTTGAATTTTTAATTTCAACCTGATAGATCACTCCCATCAGTGTGGGAGCATTTTATTTCTTCCAACCACAAACCACCCTGTTTTTTAAAAAAAAAGTTTATTTATTTATTTTGAGAGAGAGAGAGAGCACAGGAGGGGCAGAGAGAGAGAGAGAGAGAGAGAGAGAGAGAGAGAATCCCAAGCAGGCTCTGCTCTGTCAGCACAGAGCCCAATGGGGGGCTCAAACTCAGAAATCATGAAATCATGACGTGAGCCAATATCAAGAGTCAGACGCTTAACCAACTGAGCCACCCAGGCACCCCCAAAATACCCTCCCTCGACTTGAGTGCCATCCAACTTTCACTTTATTTTTCTCCTCCCACTGGAAGAAAGCTCCTTGGAAGAATTATCTAATCCCTCTACTTACCCATTTTCTCCTGACCACACTGCAATCAGCATTCATTCCCTCCTCCATTCCTGTGAATCTACTCAATTCTCAGTTTTCGTCTTACTTATTAACCTATGAGCATTTGCCATAGGTTTCTGAAATACTTTTTCACTTGGCTTCCAGGACATGTTATTCTCCTACCTTCTTGGGTGCTGTCCCTCCTTTCCCACTGCTATTTCCATAGGAAGTTGGTGTGCTCCACGGCTCAGTCCTTGAACCTTCTTTTTTCAACTACCCTCATTTCCTGAGTAATCTCATTCAGTCTTATGGCTTAGATAGCATTTACATAATGGTTACTATTTCTATTTCCAATCAAGAGCTCTCCATTGCTTCCCGGGCTAATAGCTACAGCTGCGATTCCTCATCTCCCAAGTGGGTGTCTAACCTGCATCTAGCGCATAATGGGCCCAGGCTGGAGCTCCAAATGTTCCCCCAAGGAGCTGGCCTCAACTCCTCCAGTTGCTCCAAACAAAGACTTTGGAGTTATCCTTTCTCTATCCATTCTCTACCACAGTCAGTACACAAATCTTGTCAGTGTTACCTTCAAAATATATCTGAATTCAGAATGTGAAAAGTTCTCATCACCTTCACTCACTCTACCAACATGGGCCAAGTCACTACAATTCCTTACCTGTGTTGTTGCAATAACTTCCTAAGAGTTCTTCCTGCTTTTATCCACGGGAAATAACTGAGCAGCAGGTGTGATCATTTAAAACATAAGTCAGATCATGTCAGACCTTTGTTCAACCCTCCTCTCCAATGCTTCCCATTTTGCTCAGTGTGAAAGGCCAAGCCTTTACTATAAACCCTAAGGCTTTGCACACCACCCTTTCCACCACCACCCGTCCTCCACCTCGCCACCTACTTTCCTTCCTCACTTCTCCCTCCCTCTCTTCTTCCTCGTTCTTCTAACAAACTAGAGATGCTTCCACTTTCAGACCTTTGCACTCAAAGCTAGATGGTTCTTTCCCCAGATTTGCATGTGGTTTGCTCCCTCAACAGCTTCAGGTCTTTTCTCAAAGATCCTTTTCTTAGTGAGGCCTTCTCTGGCCATCCAGTGGAACATTTCACTTCCATACCCACCCCACTTCCTATCCTCCCTCCCGCTTTAGTTTTCTGCTATCTGATGTGTCTGCCATATACTCTACTTAGTTATCCTGTTCATTCTGTCTTCTCCACTAGAATGCCAGCTTCCTGAGAGCAATAATTTTGGTCTGTTTCCTTTCCTTCCGTGTCCCTGACACTTGGAGCAAGACTTGTCACCAAACCAGGCTCAATGAATGTTTGTTGAATACCTGAATGACTCTGCAAGAGAACACACTTGCGCAGAACCTCTTCCTATCATGTCTTAGAACATCACGCCACCTTCGTGGTGTGCTCCCAGTGATTTGTATACAAAAAGCTCCAAGGTAAAAAGGTATTTTACAGTAATCTGTAATGAGGTTAAGCTGATAGCCAGATGAAGTTTTCTTTTCATTTACTGCTTCCACATCATTAATCTAAAAAAAAAAAAAATGATCTGGGGGCACCTGGGTGGCTCAGTTGGTTAAGTGTCCAACTTTGGCTCAGGTCATGATCTTATGGCTCATGAGTTAGAGCCCTGCATCAGGCTCTGTGCTGACAGTGCAGAGCCCACTTCAGATCTTCTGCCTCCCTCTCACTCTTCCCCTCCCCTGCTGGTGCTCTCTCCCTTTCTCCCAAAAGTAAATAAAAACATTAAAAAGAAGAAGCAGCAAAATAAATAAAATAGATGATCTGGCTTTTAGGACACACATCAAACTTGATGGGCTGGAAATGCAACAGTAGAAATAAGGAGGCCTTGCTTCTCTTGGATGTAAATAATGTATTCTGTCTCTCGGAATCTTATAAGGAACATTGAATAATACTGTTCTATACCTGCCGATCTTTTCTGTTGGATCAGTGAGGTCAAGTTAGCTGACGAGCAAAAGTCACAGAAAGTCAGTTTCGTCCCAGGCATCAAATAAAACACAAAGACTCTGCTTTTAGGATATTTATATTTGGTGGGAGGTTACAAACAAACAGAAAAAAAAAACAAGTAAACAATACTAATACTTAATTTCAGATACTAGTAAGGACTAGGAAGATAAAAGAGAATAACGTGGTGGCGGGTGACTGGGAGGGGAGGGGTTAGGGCTGGCTAGAATGAAGAGGGGGAGACTCATGAGAAGACCGTGGCAAGGACCTAAATGAAAGGAAATGATAGAAATGAGCTGAGGTGTGGTGAATGGAGAGGAAACTAGAAAAAAAAATTACATACCTGAGAACTGGCCAGGGGCCAGGCCACATAGGCCTTATAGAACTTAGTATGGAATCAGGATTTTATGCTAAGTGGGAAGCCATGAGAAAGGAAGGGGTGCCTGAGTGGTTCAGTCGGTTAAGTGTCTGACTCTTGATCTTGGCTCAAGTCATGATCACACGGTTCGTGAGTTCCAGCCCCGCATCAGGCTCCATGCACTGACAGTGCAGAGCCTGCTTGGGATTCTCTCTCTTCCTCTCTCTCTGCTCCTGATCCCCACTTGCTCTCTCTCTCTCAAAACAAATTAAAAAAAGAAAACAACAACTTAATAAATTAAAATAAAATGTCTTGAATCTAAGTAGGAAGAGGAAACAAGTCACTGTCAGGGACTTCACACTGTCAGTGCAAAGCCTGCTTGAGATTCTCTTGCTCCCTCCCTCTATGTCACTCTCCTGCTCGTGCCTTTATCTCAGAATAAGTAAGCTTAAAAAAGAAAGAAAGAAGAAAAAAGAAAGTTCGAAGGATGTGATGGAATCTAAGCACACTTTCAAAAGATAATTCTGGGTGCTATGTGGAGCATGACCACAGGGGGCGGTGATGAGGCAGGGCCTCGGCAGGGGTGTGAGGCAGAAGGCTGGGTGATCTGGGGAGGCTGTCACACTCTTGTCTGTGAGCCCCGCCAGATGTTATGCTGTTTCGTCTTTTTTTTTTTTTTTTTTTTTTTACTAGTTATTTATTTATTTTTGAGTGAGAGAGAATATGAACTGGGGAGGGGCAGAGAGAGAGGGAGACAGAGAATCCCAAGCCGACTTCACTGACAGCACAGAGCCTGACACGGGGCTGGAACTCACGAACCGTGAGATCATGACCTGAGCCAAGATCAAGAGTGGGATGCTTAACTGACTGAGCCAGCCAGCCGCCCCTATGCTCTTCCATCTTTTCTAATCTCTTCTCACCCCTGGCGTTGGTTTTTATTCAGTCTGACTGGCTTTCCCATTCCAAGCCCAAGTTTAGCAAGACAAAAAATACTGTAAACAGAGGGAAGGCTCTAGTACATTCCATTTCAGATGCCGTTCTTAACCGAAAGTGCCATTTTAGGGTAAGCTGTTGAGACACTATTCAAAGAGTGAAAGTCAGACAGCGACCCCAACTGTCTGGTTTTCTCTGTTCTTGCTACAAAACCACGGAAGTTCTCTTCTTGATCCGCCCATGAGCTCCTTTGCATAGACTGAGGCTCTGTTTTTAGGGATTTCTAGGTGTATAGTTAGGTGGATTCTTTTCTTTTGCCACCAAATATTGCCACAATCTAATGTATTTTATAGTGCTCTCTACCCAGAAGCTACCCCATAAACATTAATAAAAATCACTGCTGTTACTCTACCGAATCAAAGAGCCTATACATTTTTCGCTGAGTACTTGTTACAGTTTGACTTACGCCAATATTTACTTAGCATGAGTGGCCATTCACTTAACACTTGGCCTTTTGACACCAACCACATTTTAAGTAATGCAAGTGCTAGCATGCATGCACGTGTGAAAAATATTCACCAAAGAAATATTAGTGGCCATGGCACATAAATGGCCTCTTCATTTTTAGAAGACCCATAGAAGCTATTCTTGAAAGTAATTTTGGCAGCTAGAAATATTAAAGATAACATTAAGACACTTGAAATAAATTATTCCTCTGTCTAGCAGGAAAGGTTTAATTGCACCCTACAAATATGTTATCCCTCTTTTCAGATAGGTGTTGGGAGATGTGAGCGGTGCCTAGTTTATAAGTTAGCTCAGAAACAGGGGAGGGAGGCGTTCTAATTATTTTTAGTTCGGGTGATTTAACCCTGAATGGACAAACACAGCAATATGCCATGTTAAATCATATTGTTTTTAAATACAAACTTAAAATGAATGGTTCGCTAAGAAAAGAGCGTACGTTTTACTTTAGAGAAGAGTGGGAAAATCTGATGGCAAATTTCAGAAAGATACTCTTTTTAAGGCTAAGAATATACTGAGTACAGAAGTTAGAAGCTCTGGAGACGTATGGAAGGTTTTCGAACTCTCCTACTTGAAGGCAGGGAGAGATCTACTTTTCAGGTCCCCCCTGCCTCAGCTTTATATCTTAAGACGCACTATGAAAATCAGAGGAAATAATGTCTTTGAGCTCCCTGGGCTCACTGAAAGACACTGTGTAAATTCAGTACATCTCATTACTGAACTCTACGTCATGTGCTGCACTCTGACTACACCCTAACGTGGCACAGATGATCCTGCTTGTGAAGAAGAGTGGGTAAATTAATCCCCACAGGGAAGGAAATTCAAAATTCTTCATTACCGTGCTGACGTGAGAAAATCCTTCCGTATCAATTTGCATGCGCATCCAATCACAATTTGACAGCTACATTTAAATGAGCCTCAGATAAATAAGAAATAAAAGATAAAACCAGAGCCTGTTAACCCAAGCACCCCGGAGCAAAATGTGAAGATGCTTCTTTCACAAGAAAAAGGAGGAAAATGTATTGGAAGAATGACTTTAATTGACAGGACCCTTGTTGGCCCAATATGAATAGCGTGCTTATGTGTCATTTTATAATGAGAACAGAAATTGTGATAACAGCATGGAGAAAGAAAGATAAATTGGAATCTAAGACAAATAATGAGCTTGACACGGAGGGCGATCCAAAGGATGACAAAGAACAATAAAAAAATACCGAAAGCACTTTGATGTTTCTAAAATGTGCAGATGAGTCTCTATCACCCTCCCTCTCTCCTAACACACCCTAAGGCAAAGCCCAATATGAATTTACAATGTTGAATACATGGCTCTATTTCAAGTAAGTTCATGAATAGATAGAGCAGGGTTGGCAGCCTGGCAACTTTTTTTTTTTTTTTTTTTTGAAGCTGCACCACTACTGTGAAAGCAAAATGAATAGTGTTTCTATTCAGAAGCTTCTCTCCCTTTATTTCCACACTGTGTTATGTGCCTCTACTTCTTCAGTTAAAAAAAAAAAAAAATCTAGATAGGAATGAAATACTGAGAGGTGTTTTCATTTCTGAACAGAAAACACTTTAGTGGGTTCACATGTTTTCAATGATGAAATTCTTAAATTTAGTTTTTCTGTTATCAATGGTACTGTCAACAGGTAATATTTATTATCTGTGTATCATGAGCAAAATTAAAACATCTTGAAGACTGCAGGATTTAGCTAGGTATCAATTAAAAAAAAAATCTGGGGGCACCTGGGTGGCTCAATCAGTTGAGCATCTGACTCTTAATTTTAGTTCACGTCATGATCTCAGGGTCATGGAATCGAGCCCTGAATGGGGCCCCGTGCTAGGCATGGAGGCTGTTTAGAACTGTCTCTTTTCTCTCTCTCCCTCTGCCCTCTCCCCTGCTTGCATTCTCTCTCAAAAAAAAAAAAAAAACAAAAACCACTGAAAGGCTTTAACTCCACACATGCAACCAAATCAAAGAGGGTAACTCATGGAAGCTACCAATGGTTCTGAAGGCCAGCTTTAGAGATCCACAGAACTGAACAGATGCATATTAGATTATCGTATAAGGCTAAAACAATGTTTGAGGTTTTGTGGAAATCAATGTACTTTACCCCAAAAGTAAAATATGCTAGGCTTCAAAATTTGGAGAGCTAAGCAGAGGAAAATTATATTTGAAATAAATATATATTAGGTGCCTGGTTAGCGCAGTAGGTAGTGTGTCAGTCTCATAAAATAAATATATATTAGTAACTAAAACACTATTTAACAGTTGATTTCTCTTTGATATTGACAACAGTGACAATATTGTAATTTAATCACAAATCAAAAGTCAAAATTAAAACTTAATTCCTCTATAGAATCCAAGTTGATATTAAAAAAAATAAATAGTAGTGTATAAAAAGCTAAGTCGCTGTAACTTAATGATGTGATTTTGTCACTTGTTTTAGAACTTCACCCATTCTTCATGTGAATTTCCAGCAGTAAAGAAATCACTTTAAGACTGATTATTCTAACTGCACCTAGTAAAACATAAATTAAAAATAAAACCCAAAGGAAAAATGGAGCATCTGTAAAGGGACTCTTATGACGTACTGAGAGAAGCTTCAATTTTTTTTTTTCCTATAAATTTCATTTTTTTTTTTTCTGGGCAGAGAATTAGCTATGTACCTGTGTCTCTTAATGTCATTGATTCCATTCTTCAGATTTCCAAGTCTTTCCGTTGGATTTTGCCTAAGATAAAAAATTTAACAGGCAATTTATAGTAATTATGCCACAGTGAATTTTAAATTAAAATCTAACATTTTTTTTCTACATGTATTTATTCATTCATGATTCAACAATATCCACAGACCAGGCAGCTGAGCATATAGGAAGACGAAAGCCACCTGTCCCTCTCTGGCATGTGTATGTGTATATAGATATACGTACCCCGGAACTTTAAATGAGCTGTGAATAAATGCTTAAGAAAACAGGGGGATGCTATCCTACCAACTCTGCTAAAAAAACCAGGGAAGGGAAAGCTTTCGAGAATCATTTACATCTGAGCTGGAATCTCAGAAACATGCAGAAATTTCTCTAGGCAGCCCGCAGTTAGGTTTCATGTTCCAAATTTACCCAATGTTAATGATTTAAAAAAAAAAAGTTCAAATACGCCAAAAAATAAGGAAAGGAAACAGTGACAAAGTAAAGTTTAAGCACAAATTCCAGAAGTCTTCTGTTCTCCAATAAATAATTTTTAAGGATAAACAGAAATTTAGAATAATTTAAAGTAAGGCCAGAGGAGTACTGTGTTTTAAAGTAAAGGCTGAGAGGGATTTTAGTAACACTTTATCATCACCACTGATTTCCTCTTAAAATAACAAGGTGGTAAGTTGATGATCCTTTATTAAACTAAGGTTCATTTTGCCCTATAACAGATAAAGGTCATTCTCAAAGATAAGCTGAAAAATGTGGATCTCTTTTAAACTCTAAGTAGGTACTGTGATTCTGAAGCATGAAGTAAACTCAAATTCCCAGTTGACGACTACAAAACAGAAAATGACTTTCTTTAAATATAAGTTAACTACATAGAAAAGTACAAAAGGTAAACATACACCTAATTTTAAAATGCATGGAAACAGAAATGAGAACACTTCACACATTCCCCAGGAACTAGGGCTTTTAATTTTCATTCTCACCTGCAAAGCCTGCGAATCAAATCCTCAGGCCGTCTTGTTATCTTTCTTGGAAAATCCATTTTTTCAATTCCTTTGAGAATCAAATTGTAGGTCATCATTTGGTCAATCCCAGAAAAGGGGGGGCTGCAGAAAAGCCAAAATGGGACACTAGGACTGACGTCTCACATCCATTTACAACTGAGTTTTTTTTCTTTTCCTCCTTCCCACTCTCCCTCCTTCCTTCTCCTTTGACGATGTATTACAAGTATCTGGATATATGCTAGAAAGTAATTCCATTAGTTTCATATCACTTCACAGATTACACACATACACAACAGGTAATTTGTCAGGTGGTGATGATAATCAGTAGAAAGAAAAATAAAGGAGGAGACAAAGTGAGAGAGAGAGAGTTGTGGTTTTCTTAGACCTGGTAGATTGGAAAAGCCCCTTTTATGAGATGACAATTCAGTGGTGGTATCAGTGAAGAGAGGGAGGGAATGAGCCACACTTGTTATCTGCAGGCAAAACCCTCAAGACAACAAGTACAAAGGTCGTGAGTTAGGAACGGCCTGGGTTGTGGGAACAGTGAAGGCAGGATTGCTGGAAGCAGGATGGGAGTAGAAGAGATGAGGGTCATATCACGTGAAGCTAGTGGATGATGGTAAGGGCCAAGGGATACGTTCTGAGTCAGGTGATGGAGTTTACAGCAGTCAGAGTAAGCTTTTTATAAAAAATGTGTCAAAACTGACCCGCGACCATGCTAGTGGTGGGGGAAGGAAGGCCCGGTGGCCTGAAGTAGGATGGTAGAAGTGAAGGTGGTGAGATGTGGTTGCATTCTGGATCTATTTGGACTGTAAAGCCAACAAGCTTTGCTAATGGGATGAATGTGGTATGTGGGAGAAAAAAAAAGGATTCAAGAATGATGCTAGTGTTTTGACCTATGGAATGGAGCTAGCATTTACTAAGAGAAGAAAGGCTGGAAGGGGGGCTGAGGTGGGGGTGCTGGGGTACAGAGCAGGTTATGAAATACCCAAATAGAGTTGTGTTTTAAATGTTCAAATAGAGGGGCTAAGCTGGCAGGTAAATTTATGAGCCTGACATTCAGGAAACAGGTCAAAGCTGGAGGTCTGGTTCTGGGGCATCATCAGACAGTATTTACGGTTTGATGATATCAATCGAGGAGTGAGTAGCCAGAAAAGAGATCAAGGATGTAAAGTGGCCCAATGTTGAGAGGTCAGGAGGATAAGAAGGGCCCAGCAATGAAGACTGAGATAGAGGTACCAGTGTGGGAAAAGAAATGAGAGAAAGGGAGGTCTTAGAAGCCATGTGAAGAGTATTTCAAGGAAAGTGTTCTGACGGTAAGAAAGCATTGGGAATTGACCGCTGAATTTGGATAACATTTTAACTCATATGCTCTGCTTTTTAAAAAACACTTTATTCTACTGTGTTGTTTAATTTTTGAAAAGTGAAGATGGCTTTCATGAACTACCCTGCTTTATCTTGGCCATGCTAGGGACCTTTTGATACTGAGAGTTCCCACTGAACGGAAATAAGGTTGGCGAACCAAGTCTGCAACAGTCTATGTTGTGCTTATGTAACAAAAGGCATTGCTATATTTTCAATACCTACATATTTGCAACTATGTAATGCTTGTTGTATTTTGGCTTGTTTTAGTTCCTTTCTCATTTTCATTTACCTCCTGGTTCTAGAGTTCAGGTCATTTAAAATCAACATTTCTCTTGCCCTACCCTGAAAACCTTCATGAAAATAATTTCTCAACTTCTTGACAGCTCAAAGCCACTTTAGCAACTCCGCATTATCCGGGTTCCTCTCTTCCTTATTCTCTCCCTTATTTCCATACGCCTTGTAGCGATTTATTGCAGCTGACAAGAACTGAGGTGTATATTCTTTAGTTAAGCCTGCAGGAACCATATGTATCTCTTAGAAACGCAGTGGACAAACTTCCCAGGGGTAAGGAACAAATTCTTGAAACAGAACTCCTTGCGTCCCAAGAATTTAAGCAACTTTCTCTCTGAATGACATTCTGGACAATTTTCTCTTCTCTTCGTCAAAACCTTAAGCAATGAATACAGATAATATAAAATAATCTTTCATATCTGTTTGCTTAATGCATATAGACAGGGAAGTAGAATTTAGCCACGGGTAATCTAACATTGGAATCTGTAGGGTAAAAGTTCAAGATTTTGTGAAACCTTTTTTATTAATGTTTACTTATTTTTGAGAGAGAGGCAGACAGAGTGTGAGGGAGGGACAGGCAGAAGATATGGAGACACAGAATCTGAAGCAGGCGCCAGGCTCTGAGCTGTCAGTGCAGAGCCCAATGCAGAACTCAAATCCACGAACTGTGAGATCATGACCTAAGCTGAAGTAGGACGCTTAACCTACTGAGCCACCCAGGCACCCCTATGAATGTGTAGAGACTTGAATCCCACTCCATATGCAAATCCTCCCTGAATATAAGACTGAGAATATTTGTTCATGAAAGTTTACAGGGATGATCAAATCAGAAACAGAAGTAGAAAACTGAACTAAATCTTGTGTGTTAAGTCCATGCATTACATTAAAAATATATATGAGGGTGCCTGGGTGGCTCAGTCCATTAAATGTCTAACTTCAGGTCAGGTCAGGATCTCACCATTCGGTGGTGAGTTCGAGACCCGCATCAGGCTGCTTGCTGTCAGCACAGGCCCACTTCAGATCCTCTGCCCCCACCCTTCTCTCTGCCCCTTCCCCACCCCATGCATGTGCTTGTTCTTTCTCTCTCAAAAATAAATAGACATTTAAAAAAATAATAAAAACACATGCATGGGCATGTAATGGAAAGTGTGTCACATTAGAGTTAGAAGATCTGGGAGCAAACCCCTGATATTAAGCAGGCAGCTGTCTGTCCTGGCTTTCTAATCCATAAAATTTAAATCATAAAATAATCATAATAAAAATTTAAATTATAAAGTAATAAAAATTTAAATCATAAAATAATCATAATAAAAAATTAAATTATAAAGTAATAAAAATTCTTTCTTTAATTTCCACATAGATTTATCAAAGCAAAACTAGATAATACATATGGAAGTGCTTTGTAAACTGTAAAGTGTTTCACAACGTCAAGTAATATTACATAGAGCCTACTATGTGTGTGTGCACGTGTGGGTATAAATGCATGTGCACGTATGTGTATGCGTGCATGTGTGTTGAATATTTGGGGTCTTGGATTCATTAACATAGCCCTTTAATCTCTGCAGGAATGATAATTCAATTTTCACTGCTAAGCCCCCTGCTGTGTCTTCTGGTCTCTGTTCATTAGCACCTCTAGAAAGCAGATGACAAAGAGATTAAAATTTAAATCCAGCCATGTTCTTTTCTCTTAGCTTCTCTCATTAATGATTTATTGGGAATATGGAAGAACATGGCTAAATGTAGTTTCATTCTTTAATAGGTTTAATTGAAATATGATTACTATTTTCTCAATTACAAAAATATATATATAAGAGGAGATAATAAAAGCCCACAACTTCAACTCCTTTTCCTATTCTTAAAACAGGATTACCAAAATCTTCACCCCCTTGGCACGTTATCTATAATAAGAGGCCTTGCCATTTTAGGAAAACCATAGAAACTCCGTATTCCTTTCTCATACCTTCCTCAATGTGTTCTCCATGTTACAAACTAGGAAGCATGTTATATGTAAAATATACACATGGGAAAAGTCATCACATTGATGACTTTCAGAAATCAGAACTATTTCTAAAATGTTAAACTCTTAAATTATATATGTTTATCATTAGTAAATTATTTTGGCACTTCTGTGAACTTGAATGTACTTACTTGCCAGTTAGGAGCTCATACACTAGAATTCCCAGGGACCAAAAGTCCACACTGAAGTCATGTCCTTTGTTGAGAATGACTTCAGGAGCTACATACTCTGGAGTTCCACAGAATGTCCACGTTTTCTGTCCAGATCCTATTTTCTTAGCAAATCCAAAGTCAACCTGCAAAAGAATGCCAAGGATATTTTCAGAGACCATAAAACTCATGTTCTTCTTTAAGTCTCCCTCGGACTTCTATCTTCTGTCTATACCTCCATCCTCCCCTTCACACACACACACACACACCACATCACTGACACTCTCATGTCTTCTTTTGCAGGCCCAGGCATGAATCTAGTTACACTGGACAAAGTTCCATGCATATACCTCTATGCCCTACACCCCCAGAGGATAAAAGGAATGGCTGGCAAGGGCAGACCATTTCAACAAATGTGAAGCTCAGAGGAAGCAGACAAATAATTTTCCAATCAGTGGTTGTATTCATCGGGAAAAGGAGAGAAAGGGGAAGGGATTGGCCCTGCTGCACTTCAAGCTTCATCGTAAAAAGAAAAATAACAGCATAATTGAGAGTTTGGGAAAGGGATCATTTTTGGAAATTAAAAAAAGGAGTCTTAAAATTCCGCTCAATCTTTAAAAACCATTATGAACAACGTCTGTGCCCTTTACATTTTGGAATTCCAAAGAAAAGCTAGGATCATCTCATCTCAACTTTGGCCAACCTGTGTACCCTTTCAGTCCTCAGGGAGGTCAGTGGTGAATAACACCTGCATGAACTTACCTGTTCTGGAAAGACACAGTCAGCATCCACTGTCGGCCAGACTCTGTGCTAGGCTTAGAGACAGAGAGCTGACTAGGAGAAACTCGGAGTACTGGGAATATTTATACATATGTGATTGATATTACTTTATGTAATACATGATACAGTAGAAAATTGTGCAGAGGGACAAATACGTATACTTCTGGAACATTAGGGAGAAGGCTACTCGGGAAGATATCATTAGAAGGTTATATCTGAGCCTGGCCCTGACTGAGGATCAGAAACTCTCCTAGGGTAATGAATTGTTGCTACCCTCATCCGTCTTTTCAGAATAAGGCTCTCCACTGCTCTGAGACTCTATTCAACGAACTAACTCTGTGCACAGAATAGAGACAGGAAAGAAGGCCGGATCAACAGAAGGCTCTCTCACTGAATGGGGGCAGTGTACATGACTGAAATCCTGCCCTGCAAAACAAACAGTTGGTTTCTGTCCACAGGGGTTATTTAGCATGTATTTTCATCTCTAATACATACAGATATTATTTCAATAAAACCATCCTCCACCACCCTGAAGTAAACAGAGACACAAATTATTCCTGGGCCTCAACATGCACATTTTAATGTTTCATTATGCACAGACTATCTCAATATGGCAAGACTATTGGCTAAAAGAAAATAAGGTTAATATAACCAAAGAGGCCCTCACCTAAAAGAGTATGTCAATGACCTAGAAAATCCAGTCCTTGTTTATTTATTTGACTATTAATACTTAAAGTCTTTGTTTCATCTTGAATAAATCTCTTAGAAATTTCGCTTTTTACTCATGCTTTTTAGTACTTATCATACAACAGCAAGGATTTCCTTATTAGAAAAAGAGAATTTAAACAGCCTAATCTGAAGTGGACTTTTACTGTTTCCTTTTATCTATATAAAATGACTCATAAAGATTATATCTAAGGGATGATTGGGGATATTATGAAATTAAAATTTGTAACCAGCTGAGATTAGCTTATTTACTTATTCCTCAGAGGAAGAACCGATATGAAAATCTTAGCTAATTTTATAAAGACTGAAATTTAAGAGACAAGAAAGCAATGCTTATAATTGCATTTGTGTGCATGCACATATGGAAATATTACATTTTGATGTTTCATAATCACCTTTCAACTCATTTTTTTTTTCATGGTATTTAAGTTTTCCATTTCAAAATGACTGGAAATTCATTAGATGTTTAGGAAACTTTTCCAGCCCTGGAAATGGTGAATTTTCATTCGGATAGCTGGCTTTGCCTTTGTAATATCTGAATATTGGCCCACAGAGATGGCAATAATTATATTAAGATTTTAAGATTTATGAAATATTACCACTTTTCTCTTTTGATCTTATCAACTTTATTTTAATCTATTTGGTCAGAGGAAATTCACACTCAGACCCATTTGAAGTCACATGCCTATTAAAGAAGGCCCCAGATCTTCTGACATCAAATTCTGTGCATTCTCTACAGACATTCATACCACCTCTGTCTTGCACCACTCTGGACTCCACCAGGAAGGCTCAGTCTTTTCTAACACTATCTCTTCGAGGAACAGAAACCCAAGTTCCTTCCTTCATTCAGTCAATGCATATCTATTGAATACCAGTATGTACCAAGCACTGGGATACAAAGCCCATTCCTCCCAGAGATTATATTCAAAAGAAAGAGGAGAATATGCATAAAAACAGAAGATCATACATAATAATGCCAGATAGTGACATATCCTATGAAGAAACATCGGGTAGAGTTAGGTATGGAGATCAATAGGAGTTTTACTTCAAATAGCATGACTACAAAAAGGCTCTTTGAAGATGTAGCATTTGAGCAGATTTCAGCAGAAATCTGTGTGAAATTAGAAAAAGGGCTCTATAAAAAATCTAAGCCAGAGTAATTCTGACAGAGAAAGAACAGTGCAAAGGCCCCAGCATTTGGGAACATCCGTGGTAAGTTCAAGGATAAGCAGGTAGGCCAGTGTGGCTGGGTCAGGGTGTGAGGGGAAGAGAGAGACAGTGAATGAGGGCAGATTATGTATCTGTCTGATAAACCCCAGGCAGAGCTTCAGACTTTTTGTTTTTGTCTAAGAGACCTACTGGAGGATAAAGAAGGGTGATGCGGGTCCTACTGTCTTCAACAATCATTCTAGAAGGCAAGAAAATAGACCCCCACTTTTTAAAAGAGAAAATTCTAACAAAACTGGGCTTTCTAGAAGAATATCTAGAGAAACTACACAAAGGTTTTCTCTTGTCTCTACTAAATTTCTATTATTAAAAACAGCTTACATTATGCTGAGAATTTAAAAACATTAAGTCTCCAAAGATTTTAATGAACTAGAAGCCTTTAAGATGCTTCTAAACCTGTAGCAGTGATTGCATCATTCAGAAATAGAAAAATTAGCATTGTGGCTTGTCGGAGCCTGCGTCCAGTAAGTGTTAGCTTTTTTCCCAGAAGTTTCTTTCTGGGTCAGTAAATTTGTCAGATATTGGTTCTCTTGGTTACATAAAAAGTGGATACAAAATGACCAGTCTAATTACACCAAATGATTCATGGGGACATAACATTCCAAAAAAATATTTATGTGGAATTTTCAGGTCACTTACTTTGCCCAAGTCTAGACAAGGGTAAAATGGAATCTGTTTATCCTGCCTGCAATAACCAAAGACGATTTCACATCCTTATGATACTAACATCCATCCACTAAAACAGGCAACATTTGATGGCTTCCACTGTATGGAAGTGGGAGGGAGGGAGGCAGTGGATGGCTTCCACTGTATGGAGGTGGGGATGAGGGAGGCTAGGGTATGGGATGGATGAGTCTTTCATGGCAATGGTCCATTTCTATGGGGGTGTGGTGACTCACCTGAAATACTTAGAGCATTTACTAGGAAGTGGGCAAGATCAAGAGGAGCCCTGCGTGGATGAGCACAAACTGAAAAAAAAATTTTTTTGAGGCTCATCTTATACGCCACCACCTCTTTGAAGCTTTCCTTGCGTTTACAGAACTAATTATTTTCTCCTATGAAGCTCTTTAATATTGTTAATATTCCACAGTTACATCCCTTATGCAGCATCATCTAGTTGTGTGTGAATAAATCTAGCTCCTTGAGGAGAAGCATTATATCCTATTCATTTTGTAGCCCCTACAGCATTTGTAACACAGCAGATGTTCAACACCTGTTTGGTGAAAAAAGCTGCATGAAGAGATAACTGTTAACATCGGTTTCAATAAGATATGTAAATGTATATGCATATGTATATGTATGATCTTTACAACAGCTTTAGGAGCTAGTGACTATTACCCCAATGTTAGAGATGAAAAAATTAAAGTGTTAGAAGGTCACAGATACTTGAGGTGAGACTTGAACCAGGTTCCAAAGGGAATTTTCCAGTTAACATAAATTGATGAGAAAGTAGACAATATTTAAGGGCAAAGAAGCAGCATATATTAAGCACATTCGTGGGGAAAAGCTGAGTTGTTACTTAATAAATACAGCTAATAATGGTCTGGGAAAAGGAATCTAGCTGAACCTGATGACTCCTTTTATTTTTCAAGTTAGGAAAAACTCAATACCTGTAAAATATGTAACAAACATGCAGGTTATAAAGCATGGGCATAAAGGCACCCCTGTGCCCACCACTAGGTTAACAAAGCAGATGCTCAGCATCCCTCCTCATCAGGGAAATACAAATCAAAACCACACTGAGATACCACCTCACGCCAGTCAGAGTGGCTAAAATGAGCACATCAGAGAACTCTAGATGCTGGCGAGGATGTGGAGAAACGGGCACCCTCCTACACTGTTGGTGGGAATGTAAACTGGTACAGCCTCTCTGGAAAACAGTGTGGAGGTTCCTCAGGAAACTAACAATAGAACTCCACTATGACCCAGCAATAGCACTGCTAGGAATTTACCCAAGGGATACAGAAATGCTGAGGCATAGGAGCACATGGACCCCAATGTTCATAGCAGCACTCTCCACAATAGCTAAAACATGGAAAGAGCCTAAGTGTCCATCAACAGATGAATGGATCAAGAAGATGTGGTTTATCTATACCATGGAATACTACATGGCAATGAGAAACAATGAAATCTGGCCATGTGTAGCAACATGGATGGACCTTGAGGGTGTTATGCTGAGCGAAATAAGTCAGGCAGAGAAGGACAAATATCATATGTTTGCACGTATAGGAGGATTAGGAGGAACTTGACGGAGGAACAAGGGGGAGAAGAAGGGCGGAAATGGTGGGGGAAAGGGAGAGAGGCAAACCATGAGAGACTCTTGAATGCTGACAAAAACTGAGGACTGATGGATATTGGGGGGAGGAGGGATGGGCATGGAGGAGGGCACTTGTGAGGATGAGCACTGAGTGTT